GCCCGCCAGACACTCGACACGGTAAAGACTGGACAGCCAAACACACGGTATCGCTCGCCCCCAGCCCCAAACTCAGGGTGAGGGGCACAGGCAACAAGACACAGACGCCATCTGGCTCCTTCTCCAGGCACCCTGGAGCCCCGCTGCCCACCCCCTCGATGGATGGCACCATCTTGAAATCTCACCGCTGCTGGTCCAGTGGGACTGCTCCCCGCTGCATGTCCTGTGTAAGCCCGGGGCTGGAGGAAACAGGCCAGCGGGCTCTTCCAAGATGCAAGACTGGGCCCAGCCGCCGGCAGGGCGATGGGAGAGGGGAGGAGCCCCAGAGACAGTCCTCCTGGTTGGCACGAGGGGTACTAGAAAGGGGAGTGGTCATCAGCAGACATTGGGAGGGATGCAGAGGAGGGAGGGGAGGGGGTGCCCCTGGCTCTTTCCTGCTTCATTTCGTTGCCATCTCTTACTTTAAATGGAATCACGTCTGTTACAGAATCTTCCCAGAAACCCATCTCCGTGAGTTGCAAAGTGATCTGGTTCTCTGGATGGACAGCAATGCCCTGCAGCCACTGCCGACGTCCTCACCTGACGTCTAAGGTTTCCCTCACCCCAACCCTGCCAAGAGTTAAGAAACTGGAGCAAGAGAGGCAGAGAAGATGCTATAGCACTCTGCTTTCTGTGAAGGTTTTTGCTAAAAGCAGACTCTGAACCAATCTAACGAGGTGACCAATCAAACAGAACCCCTCACGGTTCATTCGCCACCAGCCTACTCACCGATGTCGGTTTCCTTGTGGTTCTTGATGTACTCAGCCAGCTCGAAGTTACCAGCTATGATCGCCACCTGCAAGAGTGGGAATCACGTTAAAGCGCTAAGTGCACGACACTTTTCCACTTCCTGATGGCCTGACAGCAGAATGAGCCCAAACAGAACTTCCTTTTTTTAAAAACAACAGATACTCCCTTTTTTCCAGTTTATTGAGATACAGTTGATAACCCAGCACGAAGCTGAAGGTGTACGGCATAATGACTTGACTTACGTATTTTGCGAAATGACCACAATAAGTTTAGTTCAGGGCCATCACCTCATATGGCTACAAAATTTTTTTTTCTTTGTGATGAGAACATGGGGGATCTACTGTCTTAGCAGCCTTCACGTGTACCACACGGCAGCATTACCTGTAACCATCGTGCTGAATGTGACATCCCCAGGCTAATTTATCTTGTAGCTGGAAGTGCAACTTTGGACCACCTTCACCCGCTTACCCCACCCCCTGCCTCTGGGAACCACAGATCTAATATCTTTTTCTATGAGTTTGGTTTAGATTCCACGCGGAGTGAGATCATAGAGTATTTGTCTTTCTCTGTCTGATTTCAGACAGCATAGTGCCCTCAAGGCCCATCCATGCTGTGGACCAATTGTAACTGCTAAAACGGCAGCTACAGTACCCATCGTCCCCAGGCAGAGGCACATCTTCCCACTTTGCCCCTCTCTAGGCCCCTGGGCGTTCTTCAACAATGAGGCTATCATTCTGTGAGAATCTACGTGACAGAGTCCTCGGCCCAGGAGGCCTCAGTGGGGGCAGTTCAAGGGGCTGAGCCTGGAAACTCCCATGGACCACCTCCTGCATCCCCACCAAGCCCAACTGGTCCCTACACCCTCCCCTGGGGGAGAATCTATTCCTCTCATTGGTCCCCATAACTGGAGGGAGAGGGAAATCTCAAAAAAGCATTCAAAGCTGTTCACTGGTTTTCACTCAAGCAGAAAAAAACTCCACCCATGCACCTGTGCACGGCAACGAAACCAGCACCTACAGGAAATGGTCCGACTTGAGCCCTACAGATGCACCGACTAAAGTAAAGAGGCCACGTGGTCCCTGATGCACTGTGGCAGCCAGACAGGTGAAGCCAAAGTCCCCTGGAGTGGCCTGGGGCTCCTGGGGAGACCTGAACCAGAGCCCCCTTGGGCAGGGCTCTCTGTGCCCCAGACGGGGAGACCTGGTGGGCCCGGGGGGCGGTCGTCTCCACCCTCAAATGAGCCAGGCGTTCAGATGCCAGCCTGCAGACACACACGTGGACCGTCAGTCGACTTTCAATGGTGATGTGGGTGGGCCTTCCCCAATCCTTTGGAGGCCTTCAGAGCAAAGACTGAGATTTCCTGGAGGAGAAATTCTGCCTCAATTTGTAGCACCAGCTCCTGCCTGAGTTCCCAGCCTGCCCTTCAGACTGCAGACCTGCCAGCTCCCACAGTCCCGGGAGCCAACTCCTTAAAAGAAACCTCTTAAATATATATATATATATATATATATATCTCCATCCTGCCAGCTCTGTTTCCCTGGAGAACCCTGGTTGATACAGCTTCACATGGGGGCCGGGGGCTGCGGTGCTACAGAGACCCAGGGACCCCAGGCTCCCGTCCCAGGAAGTGACATTGATTTCAACTCTTGGGCCCCACCTAATGCTAGGTGTCCTCCAAGGATGCCACCGACAGGAGCAGCCCGTAGCCAAATCTAGCCCCCTCCCTGGCCTGCTAATGTCAGGGGAGCCATGGCAGCCCCTGTCCACACCAGCCGGGGGCCGTGGGGGTGGAAAGCAAAGGCCATTTCAGGGGCAGGGTTAGAACCATCTGGTGAAAGGCGCTTCACCAGCCTCCTGCACGGTGACCACCCATCTGGGACCCAGGCTTCAGACCATGGATCCTTGAAACACGACAGGGACAGAGGTGAGGAACCCGGGCAGGAGGTCCTCACAGGCCCTGAGAAGCCAGTGACCTAGTGTGCTGGCATTTATGATGCGAACGTAAAATGGCGGCTCTGCAGGGTTACTCGTAACATGTGACCCAATGTCATTTAGGTGACAAATGGTCAGAATCATTCCTGGTCAGAATTCCCTGGTGGTCCAGTGGGTAGGACTCCACGCTTCCACTGCAGGGGGCCCGAGTTCAATCCCTGGTCAAGAACTAGGATCCCGCAAGCCACGTGGCGTGGCCAAGAAAAAAGGTGGGGGGGGGAGAAAAGAATCATTCATTGTCTTCCAGCCAGACCCTCAAAGGTAAAGCTCGCTTCCACCCGTCGGGATGGCTACTATCAAAAGACAGAAGACAACAAGTGTTGGCAAGGATGTGGAGAAACTGGAAGGCTTGTGTATTGCTGGTGGGGATGCAAAATGGTACAGCTGCTGTGGAAAACAGCATTCAGGTTCCTCAAAAAAATTCCACATATGAGATTTCCCTGGGGGTCCAGTGGCTAAGACTCCACACTCCCAATGCAGGGGGCCTGGGCTCGATCCCTAGTCAGGGAACTAGATCCCACCCACGTGCCACAACTAAAAGATCCTGCATACCACAGCGAAGACCCTGTGTGCTGCAACTAAGACCCGGCGCAGCCAAATAAGTAAGTAAGTCAATAAATAAGTAAACAAATAAATATATTTTTTTAATTCCACATAGAACTACTATATGATCCAGCCACTCCACTTCTGGGGATGCACCCAAAGGATCTTAAAGCAGTTATTGTATAATGGTCAATTTTATGTGTCATCTTGACTGGGCCACAGGGGGCCTAGATATTTGGCCAAAGATTATTCTGGGTGTTTTGGGGAGGGTGTTGCTGGATGAAATTAACATCTGACTCAGGAGACTGAGTAAAGCAGATTGCCCTCCCTCGTGTGGGTGAGCCTCATCTAATCAGCTGACGACCTGACTAGACCAAAAAGGCCGAGTAAGAGGGAACTCCTGCTGCCTGATTGTGAGCTGGGACATCTCTCTTTTCCAGCTTCAGACTCTGAGAAGCGTCAGCTTTTCTTGGGTCTTGAGTCTGCCGGCTTTTGGATCGAAACTTACACCATCAGCTCTCCTGGGCCTCCAGCTCACCATGACCTCAGATCTTGGGCTTCTCAGCCTCTGTAATAAATCTCTTTGTGTGTGTGTGTGTGTGTGTGTGTGTGTGTGTGTGTATTGTGCAAGTGGGGCGCTGCTGTACCAAATAACTAAAAATGTGGAAGAGCTTTCGAAGTGGGTTGATCCTGGGAGGGTTTTGAGGTGCATGGTAGGAATATAGATGTTAAAGGTTATTCCGATCAGATCTCAGATGGAAATGAGGAGCTTGTTACTGGAAACTGGAAGAGAGGTGATCCTTGTTACCAAGTGGCCAAGAGCTTGGCCGACTTGTGTCCTGGGGTTTTGTGGGGGGCACACCTTGTGAGCCATGAACATGGGCGTTTAGCCGAGGAGATTCCCAAGCAAAGTGCTGGAGGGCTGCTGATGGTAAAACGCAAAAACATGGATGAATTGAAGGAGGAATTGTTTAGCAAGAAGGAACTGGAATGTGAAGATTTGGAAAATCCTCAGCCTGTCAGTGGTGCAGGAAATGAGAAAGCAGGTTCTGAAGAGAACGCTGAGGGTGTGGCTGGACCATCACGTGATAACGAGGTTGCAGAATTATACGCGCATAGGTACTGCCAGTTTACTCGGAAGGCGGTAGAGTGTCGTCGGGTGAAGCGAGGGGAGGCTGTCGGACTTGTAGGGTTTAACAAGATGGCACGATAGAGCCACTCAATTGCAAACATGTGCTATTCTTCAGAAAGAGGGGAAAATGACCCCAAAAGTGAGTCAGAGAACATCAGGGCCACTGCCTTGGTTTCAACAGGTCAGAGAGCCTTTGCCAGAAGCCTTGGGGGTAGGATCACCCTGCCGCACTGTGTGGGTGACACTGCCGCCCCGACGGGCCTAGGGGACAGAATGCCGAACCAAAGAGGTCTGATTGATCCACCCCGATAGGTTTGGGACTTGCGTGGGACCTGTTGCTCCTTCCTACTTCCCAATTTTTCCCTCTTGGAATGGGAATGTCTACACTATGTTTGACCCAATGTTGTGTTTTGGAAGCACATAACTTGTTTGGTTTCACAGGTTCACAGCTGGAGAGGAACTGGCCTCAGGATGACTCGTACCTGAAGTTTCACCCACACCTGACTTAGACGATATTTACATGAGACTTGGACTTGAGAGTTTGGGGGTGGTGCTGAAACAAATGAAGACTTTGGGAGCTGTTGAGGTGGAAGAATGTATTTTACATGTGAGAAGGACATGAATTTGGGGGCCAGGATGTGGAATGCTAACGACTGGATGTTTGTGTCCCCTCAAATTCATATTTTGAGGCCCTAACTCCCCAAGTGACAGTATTAGGAGGTAGAGCCTTCAGGAGGGCATGAGATTAGATAAGGTTGTGAGGGTGGGGCCCCCATGATGGGTTAGTGCCCTTATAAGAAGACACACCAGAGAGCTTGCTCTCTCTGCCACGTGAGAACAAAGCACGAAGGTGGCCGTCTGCAAGCCAGGAAGACAGCTCTCACCAGAACCTGACCACGCTGGCACCCTGACCTCGGACTTCCAGCCTCCAGAGCCGTGAGATATAAATTCCTGTTGTTTAAACCACCCAGCCCATGGTATTTTGTCATAGCAGCCTGAGCAGATTAAGACAGTGGGGACTCAAACAAATATCTGCACACCCATGTTCGTAGCAGCATTAGTCACAATAATCAGAAGGCAGAAGCAACCCAAGTGTCCACTGATGGATGAACGGATACATAAAATGTGGTCTATACATAGAATAGAATATTATTCAGCCTTAAAAAGAAACGAAATTATGACACAGGCTACAACACGGATGAGCCTTGCAGACATTATACTAAGTGAAATAAGCCAGAGGCAAAAGGACAAATCCTGTGTGATTTCACTCACGTGACGTCCCTGTGGGAGTCAGACTCATGGAGACAGAAAGCAGACAGAGTTTCAGTTTTGCCAGATGTAAAGAGTTCTGGAGAGGGATGGTGGTGATGGTTGCAACG